AGAAGCTCATTGTATAAAAACCCTTCCCTTTAAAAAACTTTTTAGTAAAGCAACTGGCCCAAAAAGAAATTTTTTTCACTTATGGTAGTAATAAGTTTCACAAGTTATATACAATGATGGATCTAAACCGGAGTCCCTTTTTGGCAGGGGCTGCATCTGCCTTTTTGCCAAACCCCCCTATTAAAAACGATAATAAATTTTTTTGAGTTGGGCTAAAAATAACAATGGGCGTTACACTGCAAACTGAATTTTTTTGCAATCCTAATGGCCAAAGCTAACCTATGACAGATTGACTCTATCATCATTACTGATTCTATGTCATCAAGACTCTTGACCTATAATGACTCCGGACAACAGCTCATTTGGAGAAGCCAGGTAAGTATCAAAAAATTTTGGGGAAAAAGGGAATTAATTTAAATTTCATGGATCCATCCACATTGATTTTTCCTTTATTAAAAATTTATATGTTAGGGAAAAGGTACCCCAATGAATGTAGAATATAACTTTGGTATAACGGTTGCATTTGGAATAAAATTTGGGGAGAATAAATAATGAAAATGATTATTATAGAATCAGTTAGGGCTTTAGTAGATCTATAACCCACTAGATAACATGAGCGTAGTAAGTGTTTTTTGGGCAACGTGCAATGTGAACAGACTGACTGATGTTGTAGTGGCCAGGCTTAGGCTTGGTTACAAGTACTTCGGCAGTTTGGGAGACACACACATGATGATCAAACTAAATGTAAATTATGTGATCAGACATATGGTCACTGTCTTGAACACTATGTGCTTAATTGTCCACTTATTGAGGAATACAGAGACAGACAGTATAATAACCTATGTGACATGTCAAGATATCTTATCTGGTGGCCTGGTGGCCTGGTGGCTAAAGCTCCCGCTTCACACACGGAGGGCCCGGGTTCGATTCCCGGCGGGTGGAAACATTTCGACACGTTTCCTTATACCTGTTGTCCTGTTCACCTAGCAGCAAATAGGTACCTGGGTGTTAGTCGACTGGTGTGGGCCGCATCCTGGGGGACAAGATTAAGGACCCCAATGGAAATAAGTTAGACAGTCCTCGATGACGCACTGACTTTCTTGGGTTATCCTGGGTGGCTAACCCTCCGGGGTTAAAAATCCGAACGAAATCTTATCTTATCTTATCTTATGAAAATTAGATACCGGATATACTAAGCAAACTTCCTAAATTTGCTTGTAACAGATAAGTGAACTATAGATATGTAGACATAAATCCATATGTATTCCTGTTAACCCTTTGGGGCCTAGTTCCTAGGCCTTTTATGTATCCATATGCTCTTGCGCTACCGCCCACAGGATGGATATGGGGCGCACAATAAACTAGCCACTTCGGTGGCAAAATCTAAAAAATCTAATCTTCACATATGCTGCAATGTATGATAATCTATGTAACTATTTGTGTATACCTGAATAAACTTATTTACTTATTCCTACTACATTTGCCCCCTACCTTCACTTTTGCTTCCTTTCACCCTCCTACACACATGTGTCACATCAACACCAGTAAGTAAGCTACCAGCTGCATCAAATACCTTTAACACAGACTCAGATAAGTTTCAAACATATTATACCAATAAAGGGGTAACCCCAAACAGTTTTCAAGTAGTAAGTGTATCTCATGACTTTTTTCAAAAAGAACTAAGCAGGTTAAACCCAACTAAGAGCATTGGTTCTGATAAAATCCCGTCTAAGTTCCTAAAAGATGGTGCTTCTGAATTGTCAATCCCTATTTCTCACATAATAAATTTGTCCATCACCACTAATACCGTACCTGAGGGGTTCAAGGAGGCCAGAGTTACTCCTATCTTCAAGAAAAATAATAGATCTGATGTAAGCAACTATAGGCCTGTTAGTATACTCAGTATAATATCCGAAATTCTAGAGAGGGCGGTGTACTGTCAATTAGTTAAGTACCTTAATGATAACAACATTCTCCATAGCTATCAATCAGGCTTTAGAAGATCTTACTCAACCGACACCTCCCTAATTAATCTGATGGATTACTTGAGAACTGAAAACTCAGTGGGGAACCTCATAGGTTGGTTACCTTAGACCTGCAAAGGCCTTCGATACTGTCAACCACAATATATTATGTAAGAAACTTCAAGCTGTCGGTATAGGAGACAAATTGTCAAAATCAACAAAACGGAATCAGAACCCCTGCCGATAGAATACTACCCAAAGGTAGTATTCTGGGTCCCTTATTATTCCTATGTTATGTTAACGACATGCCTATCAGTGTCAAGTGCAAAAGACCCACAAATATAGCTAATGTATTAACACTGGAACTGGGGTCCTGCAGCAAATGGTTATCAGACAACAAACCACCAATTACACCTCGGGAAAACTGAAGTCATTCTCTTTGGCACGAAGCATAAACTGAGAAAGGTAAATAATTTTAATGTCCACTGTAATGGGGAGCCCATCACTTCAGTTTCCTCAATAAAATATCTGGGAATCCCCTTTGACCCATGCATGTCAGGAGAATTGATAGGGAACAGTGTAGTAAAGAAAGCGAATGCCAGACTGAAATTCCTCTATAGACAAGCACAGTGTCTACCTACTGAGGCTCGCAGCTAGCCCTTATACAGTGTCATATGAATTACGCTTGCTCTTCATAGTACTCTGCCTTGACAAAAAAACTGAAAGATAGACTGCAAATTACCCAGAACAAAATGGTAAGATTCATCCTGGACCTGGGTCCAAGAAAGCATGTAGGCCAGGATGAATTACAGCATTTGAGTATGCTGAATGTTGAAGACAGTAAAACAACTGAAGCTAAATCATGTTTATAAAATTGCTCACAAACAGTGTCCAGAATAACTTGCTGCCAATTTTGTCAAGGTTGGGAACCAAAGCAATCATAGTACTAGGGGGAGAGAGCACAACTTTGTAGTACCCACAGTCAGTGGCCAGGCTTCAAACACCTTTTATTGTACAGCAATGAAGGAATGGAACAGACTGCCCGCACATGTCAAAGCCAGTCATAGCATGAACCAGTTCAAGAAGAGAGCCAAAAGATGTCTGATGAATGTAGCTACAGAAAGGGAGGGGGATGATTTTTTTTTTTTTTAGCTAACACACGTGTAATTTTACCTTATTCCTAGTAATGATCCTCGTATTGTAGATAGTCTTAATGACCCCCGTGTAGTAGATAGTCTTTTTAGTATGATAATAAGATGTTATCTCCATTATAGAATAAAAATAAGATATTATAACCTTAATATTATAGTAATAAGGTAAAAGGACCCCAACGGAAATAAGTCACTCTTTCTGATTTTTTGGGGGTCATCGCAGGTACTTTACACATATGCTGCTGTGTATGATAATCTATGTAACTGTATTTGTGTATACCTGAATAAACTTACTTACTTACTTATATTCTATTCTTGTCCCATCCACCACTCTCCCTACTTTACAATACCACTACTACTTTCACTACTTGCCTTACCACTACTACTCCTTCCACCTCTCTTGACCCGTCCTGCCAACTGGCCTGTATGTATACTGATTTCATCTTTTTTTTTCTGTTATCTTAATTCCTAATGGTTATAATCGTAACCATGATTTTTAAAGAGGTGGACTGGCAAGCTAGCGAAAGTCCTTGTCAAATGACCAAAAGCTCCAGCTATGGGTCATCAATGACTTAGACCCGCATCAGAACACTCTTGTCCTGTTTCCTGACAAACATTATACATACCATCTTTTCTGTTAGTGTGACTTGTAAATGATCCAAGTTGGACGGGTTATTTGTGTATTGTTCCGGTCACGGTATTGTGTCATTTCGTTATTCATGATCGCCGAAGGTGAAAGCATTGAAGCTGCCACAATAACTGAGCATCACCCTGAACATGTATAACAAGGTTCAAATCTCTTTCTTCATTCTTTCATTCCAAGCCCAAGAGGAAGTCCACCCTGCTAGATTTTACCTCAACATTAAAGTGTAGTTGTACCTCTAATAGACTGAGTGATTGACTGACTCGCTCACTCACTCACTCGTGCATTATTATCACCTGGATCGAATCCTGAGAGGCAAGAGAAGTGTGGGTAAGTCTTTAAACACCTGTGGCCCCTGTTGGCCTAGCAGTGAGTGGGTACCTTGGTGTTGGTTGATTATGTTTAAATTACGTAGGATAACCCAAAAAATAGTCAAAGTAACTTATTTCCATTGGAATCCTTGAGTAGAGGACCATAATGGAAATAAAAGACATCCTGATTTTAGTGGGTTATCCTGGGTTACTATCCCTCCGGATTAATATTCCTAACGAAATCGTAATCTGCGTTTAGGAAATTAATTACATATTTCAACAGTTTCCTATTAACTTGTTCGTTTTCTATTAAATCTCTCTTGTAGAAAGCGCGACTCGAGGGGTAACTGGGCAACACTCGGAAATATGCAATAAATTTGCATTAATATATCCGAGAGATTTGTGATCAAGGAAGTTTATTGAAATATTAATATAGAAAAACTGCTTAATGATTAGAGCGTTTTAATGTAAAGGCTTTTTCTTAACCGTTTTCATGGTTAACTTTATTTTCTTACCATATTAATCGCATCACAATAACTGGTAAGAATTTGCAGTATTATCAACGCCCCTCTTATTCCCAATAATTGAGTATTCCCAAGTTATTTCGAGTTGTTAGTGCTGTTTTCAGAGTCCACTTTTTTTTTTTTTGGGGGGGGGGAAGAAGAGAGGTGATTTTATTATTATTATTATTATTATTATTATTATTATTACTATTTATTATTATTATTATTATTATTATTATTATTATTATTATTATTATTATTATTATTATTATTATTTATTATTATTATTATTATTATTATTATTATTATGAGTGACTGGAAGCTGTACACAATAGTATTACTGATGGCAGGTGATCGTCTGCCAACACCATCACGTCATGCTGACTCAGTGAGGTTTCCTTCCATCACAAAGTTCCAAGGTTAGTCAGACAAAGAAATACAATGCCTTTTGATTGTTCTCATCGACTGCAGGTTATTCAGAACCACTTGGAAAACGATAGAAAGGTTAGTTAAAAGGATCAATATGGACGTCTTTGGCCCCCCAAAATTGGATGATTTGAGAATTTGGTATATTTAGAGTGAACATGAGTGTATCGCTGTAGCCGCGATAATGGTTACTAAGATAAGATTTGTTTGGATTTTAACCCGGAGGGTTAATCTACCTGGGATAACTCAAGAAAGTCAGTGCGTTATCAGGGATTGTCTGTCCTATTTCCACTGGGGTCATTCAGTCTTGTTCTCCAGGATGCGATCCACAGCAGTCGACTAACAATCAGGTACCTACTCACTGCTAGGTGAACATGGGGAGCAGGTGTAAGGAAACATGCCCAACGAACCACCCATGCCGGGGGATCGACCCCGGCCACCCAGTATGTGAGGTGAATGCTTTATTAACCGAGCCACAGGTCCATTTAACCGACCGTATGTAACCCAACTTTGCAAAAAACTAATCCTAACCTCCACGTACCCATTTATTATTAATATTTATTATATTTTGCAAAATCCAAAGCGTTATTGACAATTATGTTGTCACTACCAAGTTGAGTTATGGCTATGGAGATGAAACCTGAAGAACTTATTCACATTATTAACTTGGGTATTACAATTAATATTAACTTCTCGAAATGCCTTGTATAATAAAGGGCTTCCTATAAAATAGGTTCTACATATCAATTACTTTAATTGTATACTGTACGGTACTGTTTATACAAAAGTTAAAATAAAAGCAACAATACCACATGTGTTCAGTCCATTATCATCAGTGATGGACTGAACATGTGAACTCCAGGCTGAGGGACTGATTACCTCAAACTCCTCCACATGTTCTACGTTCTTCTCTGTATTGAACTGATGGAGCTACTAGCTGGCCAAACGTTTACACAATAAAGCTTCCCAAATGTTGCATTAGTGTTTGGGTTCGATTCTCAGCCAGAGTAGAAACATTGAGCGTGTTTCTTTCCACCTGTTGTCTGTGTTCCCCATCAGTAAAATGGGTACCTGGGTGTTAGTCGACTGGTGTGGGTCGCATCCTGGGACACTGACCTAATGTGCCCGAAATGCTCAGCATAACAAGGGGCTTTCTATATAGTAGAATCAATAATTGCCGAAGCAATTCGTAGCCATCTTGATAGGCACAGATTGGTAAATAAATCTCAACACGGTTTTACAAAGGGGCGTTCTTGTCTTACGAATTTACTAACTTTTTTTCACTAAGGTGTTTGAGGAGGTAGATCATGGTAATGAATATGAAATTGTGTATATGGACTTCAGTAAGGCATTCGATAGAGTTCCACATCAGAGGCTATTGAGGAAACTTAAGGCACACGGAATAGGAGGAGAAATTTTTTCCTGGGTAGAGGCATGGCTGACATATAGGCAGCAGAGAGTTTGCATAAATGGGGAGAAATCAGAATGGGGGCACGTCACAAGCGGTGTTCCTCAGGGGTCAGTGTTGGGCCCGTTGTTGTTCACAATTTACATAAACGACATAGATGAGGGAATAAATAGCGACATAAGCAAATTTGCTGATGACACCAAAATAGGCCGTCCAATTCATTCTAATGATGACACTAGAGCACTCCAGGATGATTTGAATAGACTGATGCAATGGTCGGAGAAGTGGCAGATACAGTTTAATATTGACAAATGCAAAGTTCTAAATGTTGGACAGTTAAATAACCATCCAACATATAAACTAAATAATGTAGATCTTAATACTACTGATTGCGAAAAGGATTTAGGAGTTCTGGTTAGCAGTAATCTAAAACCAAGACAACAGTGCATTAGTGTTTGCAATAAAGCTAACAGAATTCTTGGCTTTATATTTAGAAGTATAAATAATAGAAGTCCTCAGGTTGTTCTTCAACTCTATATATCCTTGGTTAGGCCTCATTTAGACTATGCTGCTCAGTTCTGGTCACCGTATTACAGAATGGATATAAATGCACTGGAAAACGTACAGAGGAGGATGACAAAGATGATTCCATGTATCAGAAATCTTCCATATGAGGATAGACTGAGGGCCCTGAATCTGCACTCTCTCGAAAGGCGTAGAATTAGGGGGGATATGATCGAGGTGTATAAATGGAAAACAGGAATAAATAAAGGGGATGTAAATAGCGTGCTGAAAATTTCCAGCCAAGACAGGACTCACAGCAATGGTTTCAAGTTGGAAAAATTCAGATTCAGGAAGGATATAGGAAAGTACTGGTTTGGTAATAGAGTCGTGGATGAGTGGAACAAACTCCTGAGTACAGTTATTCAGGCTAAAACGTTGTGTAGTTTTAAAAATAGGTTAGATAAATACATGAGTGGGTGTGGATGGGTGTGAGTTGGACCTGACTAGCTTGTGCTGCTGGGTCTGGTGCCGTGCTCCGTCCTTGAGTGGAGGTGACCAGACTGGGTGGGTCATTGGGCAAATCCGGGGGGGGGGTATCATGGGGCTAATCCGGGGGGGATGGACCTGCTCCGCATGGGTCAGTAGGCCTGTTGCAGTGTTCCTTCTTTCTTATGTTCTTATGTCATTGATGTCAGCTAGGCCTGTATACCATGTGCATGTACTTGTAGTAAATAAAGATATTATTATTATTATTATTATTATTATTATTATTATTATTATTATTATTATTATTATTATTATTATTAACAGGGCAGCAAAATAGTTCTAAGATCTTGATATTAATTCATATGAATGAAATTTTGTATGAATTATTAGATTTATATCGTAAGCATTTTTTTAATATACATTTGCATTGCTTAAGCGATATTTTAGAAACTGTTAATGAACATATTGTTTTATTTTTGGTACAACGGTAGTTACTATCGGTCGATCATGCTGTCTACATCGTTTTTCAACACTTCACAACTATTATCGTTACGGATATCTTATGTATATATATTTTGTTTTTATAATCTTCATATAAATAATTTAAGGTTAAGATGACCTTGTGTCTATTACTTCTCACATAAACTGTGAAGAACAGACACAAGCTCAGAGCCTTTATTGTGACGATGTTTCGCTCTCTGTGGAGTTTTATTAAGTAAATGACCTGATGAAACACTACTTACAGCGATAAAATGTAATAGTTTAAGTTTAACATGCTTATTATGCACCTCATACCCACACTATGGGCGGTAGTTAAAGGATTACGGAGGTACATAATGGGTCCAGGGACTGGACCGCTAAGTTTTGAAAGATGAACAAGTTGCAGTGATAATGAACTATTTATATGTTTATATCTGGTCACAGTCGTACTGCCTGAACAACCATACGGGACCAGCCTCGTTCTTCGCTAGGGGGAGTATACCTAGAGATGGTTTCGGGGGTCAGCGCCCCCGCGGCTCGGTCTGAGACCAGGGTGGGGGAGAACCTTGATAGACACTGTACATATTACCTTGTCCAATAGGACAGATGCTAAAAACGAAAGATCCTAACCTACATCGATGCTTTTTTAACAACTTTTATCTCGTAATTCATCATAATATATTTTTATTGAAACAGTACTGAAGTACTGTATGATTAATATTCCAGGCATCATCTCTGCTTCTGTCAAAAGTAATGTCAGGCAATCCTCTGACAAGTCATGTGCTGGACACTGCCATGGGAAAGACCAGCAGCTAATATGAAGATCTCTCTGCATAGGCTACAAGACGGTGTTTGGCAGGAAGTTGCAACCAGGTAAGTTTAATGAGAACTTATTTCAAATGCTTAAAGAGAGACTCTAATGTTAATTCCAGGAGTCAAATTAGTACCAAATATTCACTGTTTTGTTAATATTTTAGAAAGGCGATTTACATATTTTTTTAGATGTATTTATCAGATAACTGCCTGAACTAACTTCGGATCACATTAATGTCATAGTTATTAAAATATAACTCACGAAATCGTAATAACACGATTGCAAACAAACTAAGGAGCGGGTTTATTTGCTTACACACTGGCCTGGAGTTTTACGATTCACTCGCCATGGGTTCAAATCCCACCCGTTCGGTGCCTTATTAAAATATATTTAGTTATTTTTATGAAAATCAAACTAAACAATAATACACTCACAGCTTCCTACATATGTTCACAGATAAGTGTATTTATCTCAGTGTTTATACGCTGAGAGTTCACTTTAATACCTTTTTTTAGGATTACAGTATTGACTGGTGGTGAGCAGGTTGCATCCAGCCATAATGACCCTTGTGTGGTCGATAGGCTTCAAACCCAATTAACCAACCAAGATAATATACAATGTTCGGTGTATATTCCGCAGTGTATATGCACTGAGTTTATTTTAATCCACATTTTAGGGGTTAAAATGTCTTTGACTGTGATGAATACGTTAATTAAAGGCGGCCTTAATGACCCATCGAGTATTCGATAGGCTTTAAACTCAATTAAACATCCAACCAGCTTCCTATTTTGGTAGATAATTGCAGTGGATCCTGCTTAAAAAACCCTCCTCTCCCCTTCCCTTCCTGTTACAAATTTTTACCTGGAGCAATGAATTACGTAGGAGCCTCGTTAAACGTGCTCGCTCTCTCTGGTCTGTGTTCTGGTGGGTGAAAATGCCGACTTCTCAAACCTTAGTTTTCAGTTTTGAGTCATAATTCATAAGGATCGGGTGCAAACATTTCGCTACTCTAACAGGTTTCTCCACTGAGACACTGATTTTTGTTTTTTTTGTAAATGGTTCATACACAGTGTATTGTTCCCTGGAGTTTACCTGGAGTTTACCTGGAGAGAGTTCCGGGGGTCAACGCCCCCGCGGCCCGGTCTGTGACCAGGCCTCCTGGTGGATCAGAGCCTGATCAACCAGGCTGTTACTGCTGGCTGCACGCAATCCAACGTGCAAGCCACAGCCCGGCTGGTCAGGTACCGACTTTAGGTGTTTGTCCAGTGCCTGCTTGAAGACAGCCAGGGGTCTATTGGTAATCCCCCTTATGTATGCTGGGAGGCAGTTGAACAGTCTCGGGCCTCTGGCACTTATTGTATGGTCTCTTAACGTGCTAGTGACACCCCTGCTTTTCATTGGGGGGATGTTGCATCGTCTGCCGAGTCTTTTGCTTTCGTTGTGAGTGATTTTCGTGTGCAAGTTCGGTACTAGTCCCTCTAGGATTTTCCAGGTGTATATAATCATGTATCTCTCCCGCCTGCGTTCCAGGGAATACAGGTTTAGGAACCTCAAGCGCTCCCAGTAATTGAGGTGTTTTATCTCCGTTATGCGCGCCGTGAAGGTTCTCTGTACATTTTCTAGGTCAGCAATTTCACCTGCCTTGAAAGGTGCTGTTAGTGTGCAGCAATATTCCAGCCTAGATAGAACAAGTGAGATTAAAAAAAATATCATGGAGGTTTTAATTGGATATATTATAGGAGAAAATTATAAATAGATTATCAGCTCTTTAATTACCTGGGAACAAGAGGCCATACAAGTCATAAGAAAAAATGATCAAAATGAGTAAATCAGATAAATTATTAGTATAAAATATGAAGTCAGAGTTACATCAACATCAAGGTGTCACGTTACATCAACATCAAGGTGTCACGTTACATCAACATCAAGGTGTCACGTTACATCAACATCAAGGTGTCACGTTACATCAACATCAAGGTGTCACGTTACATCAACATCAAGGTGTCACGTTACATCAACATCAAGGTGTCACGACAAACGCCACGCAATTTCACACGGGGAAAAAAATCAACCTTTTCATTGCAGCTCACAGGTTCTTCTCTTTATAGGGAGAGCTTTGATGTTATTGTAATGCTCTTGATCCAAGGATTTATAGCTGTCCTCTCCCTCAGATGAAACATGGAATATCTTTAGCTGAAGTTGAGGAAGGGTCTTTTTTAGTATCTTTCTGCTAGATGGCGGTTTTGAGTCCATATATTTATATTTAGCACGCCATGATAGCTTAGCTACACATGTTTCTTAGACACGGGTCCTACACTTTTCACTGATCATTTCCGGGACAGTCATTGGGTTCTGAATCATGGTTGCTGCTCTTCCCAGAGTGTCTGAGCCTCGTGTAACCTTAATTTTTAAAGGAGTGGATGGGTAAAACAGCAGAAGGCCTCGGTTAGATGACCAAAAACTCCAGTGGCGGGCCATAATATAATATGTCCTATTTCCTGGCCAATCTTACCTAACCTAACCATATATGGCGGGTCTTCAAAGCAATTAGCCAAACTTCTTTACTCGCCTCAGCGCAACTTGAGCACTTTATGTCAGGCGCCTCTGAAGCTGTCCTCTCCTTCTTTGATCAAACGCGTTTACGTCTCAGTTACCAGGCTTTGTATGACCCAGTAGGTAAATAACTTACAGAATGTGACTAGCAATAGCTGACTATTGCTTGTCACAACAGTTGTGACTAGCAATAGTCACAACTGTTGGTTGTGTGAACAATCCTTAGCTACTGCAGCCTGTCAATAAATTTAATTTGCAGTTTTTGTTTTCCTGGATGTTCATGCCTTTCTTCTTTGTCGAAATCTTAATAAGACGATTGCAAACAAATCACAGAATGAATGGGGGATGCCATGGATTCGAACCCCACCCGTTCAGTGATTCGTTGCATGGCCCCCTGTGGGTTTAGTGCCTCCTACTGACTATAACACTACTGTTCTTTTACAGAGTTACAAATAATGATGGACGCGCTGGACAATTTCTTACACTGGAAGCCTTTGTACAAGGAACCTACAAGATGTTTTTTGATACTGAAAATTATTTCAAACAGTTAGGAACAAATGGATTTTATCCATATGTTGAGGTGAGTGTCTTTCGGCTCCCAAGGGCACGTTTTAATATTTTTAATTATCAGTAACAATAAATTAATGCAAATACATGTTGGTATAATGTGCAGAGCATTAGAGATGTTGATTCTAAGATTTTTTTACTTCCAAAAATGCTTAAAAATGCTGAATTCTGACAAATCAGCAACTCTCATTATAATAAAATTTTCTCCATTTTTTTTAAGAGTTAAAAAGTCAACAGATATGATATGTGAGTAATGAAATTTTAGGGTGATGTTTTGCTTTAAAATGTATCAAGCTTAAGATTAGCAAATTGTATGACATAAGCTCCAGATAAGACAGTTTTCATTAAATACTGAAGACCCATTTGTTCCCAGTTGCCTAAGAAAAAAATACTAACGTAGCAGAAGTTGATGTGCGGCCCATACAAGTTTAGAGCTGCAAAACATTAATCTTCGCCATATTTTCTTTTGCTTCTTATCTGCTTGAGCACTGCTTAGTAGCCTGATGCATCATCATCATCATCATCATCATCATCTCATTGACGATGGTAAAGGGCTCTTGATTCAAGGAACTGTAGCTATTTTCCTCACCTTCGGTTCAAACTTGATTTTCTCCCAATGCGCTGCTCAAAAAATTTCAAACACAGCACTTTACTACGAGTGAGCATTAGTGTGCTTTTAAAAATGAGCTCCTTGGAACGTATTTCCATTTTTCTTACATATCCTTTGATCTAAATAAAGTTAAGTTCAATAAAACACAAAATTGCAGGAACATAATCCCATGTTAGCGAAGGTTTTGCTTTACTTTCACGCTCAGTCTTCATTATTTTCCACATTCTTGTTTCACATGTTGTTCTATGCTATGGAAAAAGAGACATGAATGCAATATAATACAGTATATAACTGACAACGTTTTGCCCACATAATGGGCTTTATTAAGGCACTGTATGGGCGAAACCTCAGTAGAAAATCACACTGTGCTGCCTTTGTGTGTTTTATACATCATGTTGGTATTTTACACCATTTCCATTCCGTGTTTCATTATTATTATTACTAATATTATTTTCATGTTAAAATGCTAAACCCACATGAAAATATAACACTAGGAAAATGTAAGGTAATACGGTTTAATCCAACAAAGGAGAACAGCACCTTAAATTCTTCGGAAAAAACAGGTCGTAATCAGCGCCTAGGCACACCCCTTCAGAGGATCTGACGTCGTTCGTTTAACCAGGCTGTTATTAAGCTGTGATGGTCTCTTGATCCATGGAACTGCACTTGTTTTTCCTTGCATCGAACCTGATTGCCACCCGTCCTCCAGGAACAATGTGACCCCTATGGATTTGACATTTTAATAATTTACGTGGCATACATCTACCAAAATTACAATTTGCACATTAAATAACTATTCACTACTCCCCCCCGGCTTGGATACCTTGTTTATATGTTAAAAGATGACCAAATGGCCGAGTTTAACCGAGCAATTTAACTCGATACTGAAGAACAACAACAACTAATAATAATAATAATAATAATAATAATAATAATAATAATAATAATAATAATAATAATATCTATTTTCTTACAGATTGTCTTTGTTATTGAGAGGCCAGAGGAACACTACCACATCCCCCTTCTCCTCAGTCCCTACGGTTACACTACTTATCGTGGTAGTTAAATGTTTCCGAGTATATTCTATTTGTTTTTTGGCTCGGTTTGGGGGTTACATCAGATCGAAAGTTAGAAAAAGAAAAAAAAGTTACTTCTCATTCACATCAGGTTGTAGCATCAACAGTAAGAATGATCTGCTGAGGTATTTTTGTCTTGTCTCAAAATTGCATTTTATAATGATCTTGTATTCGAGGCAGAAGAAAGGAAAAAATTTTTTTTAAACATTCATACGGATTGTCAAGTTAACAATACTTGTCCTTATAAATAACAGCAATAACAACAGCAGCAAAAAAAAATCTTCAACAAATATTGTGCTGTTGATTTATATATATATTTTTTACCAGTTACAATATTATATATAGATTAATATCATATACTGTTTATTACCATATACAGTGTATTGTATACACTAGGTCCTAAATAAAATAAATATTTCTTATTTTAATATAAATAAGTAGGATAACTGTCATAAAAACTTTTTTGATAGTATACATTATAGATAATATAACTACTTTTGCATATAGTATTATGACTATAATATTTAAAGGGGTGGACCGGTAAGCCAGTGGAAGGCCTCGGTCAGATGACCAAAAGCTCTAGTGGCAGGTTATCATATGACTAAGACCCGAGTCGGGAAACACTTGTCTGTTTCCCGGCAAACTTACCTAACCTAACCTAACCTAACCTAACCTAACCTAACCTAACCTAACCTAACCTAACATAAACTACTTCGCATAACAGACATGGTAGGCCTATAACAGACATGGTAGGCCTATAACCAATTAAGGATACGACAGCTTATTTACATTGTAAGATTAAATCCTTGACTCATGGCACTGTACTGTGCTATCATCTTGGCGTTTCTTATATTAATACACTGCTGACTTACTGATAAAGGATAGATCCAACAAACTATGGCTACACAAAACAAAGTAATAGTACTATATCCCAATAACACAAAGGAGGGGTAATATCAAGTACAAGGCCAAGAGAAGTACTATACCTGCCAGTTCTCAAGCGTCTGGGGTGTACGTCACTATTTTCAGTTGAACGGATCTAAAACATAACGAAGTTGTAGGAATTATCTGAATGTGCAAAGTTTGAATTACAAATTAAGTAAGCAATGACTCATGAAATCGTAATAATACTCTTGCACACAAACCATGGAACGGGTGAGGTTTGAACCAATAGCGAATGAGGCGTAAAACTCCAGGCCAGTGCGCAAGCCACTCGGCTTATGCACTGACCTGTTTTGTGCAGCCATAGTTTTTATGGTTGTACTATAGTTTTATCTCTGTTGGACTCTTCCTCGTGGCTCTGCTTCAGATCGGTGAAATTCAAATAGATTTTCTGTCATTTCCCCGTCTTGTATTATTAAATGAAGCTTTAGCGACTTTGAAGAACTTCTACGACTATTTTGACTTTTTCTGGAGCCGTGCAGTCTGGAGTTAGGATTTATAGGAGGGTTTAGTCTCTATTTTCTATGCCCATTTGTTGGGTTTCAGTCTTTCGTTTTTAATAAGGCCTGCTTTTAATTTCCTTCTTCTAAATATATTTTAGATAGGGCTAGTCTATGAGATGAGCTGAGATTAGATAATAGCTTCTTTTCCTGTAAACTAATCCGTGAAGGAAAAAAAATAGATACGTATTATTAATACGCATATTAATATTCAAAGAGGGGAATGTATGAGAATATAGTTATACCAGTGCTCTTATATGGGCGTGAAACATGGGTGGTGAATGCTGCAACAAGGAGAAGGCTGGAGGCAGTGGAGATGTCATGTCTGAGGGCAATGTGTGGTGCGAATACAACACAGAGAATTCATAGTTGGGAAATTAGGATGAGGTGTGGGATTACCAAAACTATTATCCTGAGGGCTGAGGAAGGGCTGTTGAGATGGTTTGGAAATGTAGAGAGGATGGAAGGAAATAGAATGACTTCGAGAGTGTATAAATCTGTAGTAGAGGGAAGGCGGGGTAGGGATCGGCCTAGGATAGGCTGGAGGAAGGGGGCAAAGGAGGTTTTGTGTGCGAGGGTCTTCGACTTTCAGCAAGAATGCGTGAGTGTGTTAGGAGCGAATGGAGACAAATGGTTTTTAGGACTTGACGTGCTGTTTGGGTGTAAGCAAGGTAACATTTATGAAGGGATTCAGGGAAACCGGCAGGCCGGACTTGAGTCTTGGAGATGGGAAGTACAGTGTTTACACTCAGAAGGAGGGGTGTTAATGTTGCAGTTTTATAAATGTAGTGTAAGCGCTCCTCTGGCAAGACAGTGAAGCAATGAATGATGATGAAAGTTGTACTTTTTCAGGCCACCCTGCCTTTGTGAGAGACGTCCGATATGTTATTAAAAAAATAAAATTAATATTCATCAATATTGATCTCGTTTCCCTGCCTGAGAAATATAGTGAAAGTGAGACCATGCATATACACACCCATACGTAAGGTCGATGAAGACTCACACACTGAGGCTACACACCTGCTTCAGTTAACTGCTGTCTCGTACCCATCTATCCCATCTACCCCAGGTATACTATGCACTATCATGCACTTCATTGTTCATCTTACAGAGTATTTGTTATTTTCCTGAGTAACACAGTTGGTCTCTTATAAAGCTCAGCTATATAGTGTTTTTTTTCAAAATTCTATTTAAAAAGTTCCTCCAAAACTGAATAGAGCGTACCAAGGCCTTGCTACTCGCTATTCAGTTTTGAGAGTGATTTTTCAATTGCATTTATAAAAAAAATGCACTGTTTAAAGAAGCTTTGTGAGGGAGTTAGTTTACTGTAGATTGGACTGCTTGTCGATGTTGAGTGGGAGGTAATCCGGCTAAGTCAGAGGAATTGGAAGGAGGGTAACTCCAGTTTCTCAGATC